AATAACCCTCCTCCGACGTTGGTGTTGTTGTGTAATGCCAGGTCCATAAATAACAAGACCATGGTCCTTTGGGATTTCCTGCTAGAGCAGAGAGTGGACCTGGCATGCATGATGGGGACACAGTGGCTCTTTCCCAATTGGCTCCCTACAGGCTCTCTCTCCTTTACCAATCACAGACTAGAGGGCAGGAGGGAAAGGTGGCTTTGTTCATCCGGGAAACTTACGCCTTCAGGCTGCTCCCACTGCCAAAAATCCCCAGCATAGAATGTGCTGGCCTGGTGTGGGAAGCTGGGGAAAGTTTGGCTATTTGGCTAGTGTACTGTCTGCCCAACGCACTGGCCAATGCCCTGCCATCCCTGGTGGAGGCCGAATCAGGCTGGGCAAAGCTACAAAAGCATCCTATAGGTCCTTTATGAGGACCTATGAGATGGCAGTCAGGGCCACCAAGAAAGAGTACTATATGGCCACGACTGCATCTGCAAGCTCACGTGCAACCAATTATTTAGAACAATTTGATCGTTGACTACTCTGCCTCAAGGCAGACCAAACGCTAGAGAACTGAATATTGGCTGTGAGGCTTTTGCGAGCTTTTTTGCAGATAAAGTAATCGCTCTACTATGGGGGAGCCGGCGGTGGCACTGCTGCTGCGGCGGGTCAGGGCTGCGCAGAGGAGGAGGCTGCCGCTGCTGCGAGACCCCTGGCAGCAGCAAAGGCAGTGAAGGCAGGCAGACAGGAGGGAGCGAGCGAGCGAGCACCCGGCCCGGCCTCTGTCCCCGTCTCGCCCCATTCCCAGTTGCATGCAGAGGCAGAGAGGACCCCCCCGGTCGGCCACCCCGTCCGCTCGCCATGGGCAGGATCAGGAGCTGATGGCGGCGGTCAAGGCGGAGGACATGGACACTGTGCAGAAGCTGCTGCAGAGGCCCAAGCCCAGCAAGGCCAGTGAGAGAAAGGTGTTACAGTGGGAGGAAGGCGCGCGGGGGGGCCCTCAGCGCTGCTGCAACTTGCAAGGAGTCACCCGCCCCTGGCAGGGCCGCCGGATTGCAGGTGTCAGGGAAGGACCCAGGTGTGTGTTTGTGGTGGGAGGGGATGGTTGGCCTGCAGCGCCGGGCACCCTGTTGGAGAGGCCAGGGTGGCCCTTGGTGGGTGGGACGGAGAAGGGGACCCAGCCGGCGGGCGCTGTTGCGCCGGTCGTGCACCCCCACCGGGCTTCACTTTCGGGAAGTTTTGTTTCCCTTCCCTCACACACACACGTTTCTAGGCCCCACCGGGAGGTTGGCATCTGCACCTCGCCGAGGGAGCAGAAACACCTCGGGGTGGCCCTGGTCAGGTTTTGGATCATTTCACTCAGCTCAGCCTAGAGGATGTTGGCAGAATACTCTTAAATGTATGTCCTACCACTTGCTGCTTTGATCTATGCCCATCATGGCTCACTAAAGTTGGTCAAGGCTACAAGAGCCTCTAAGGGAGATTGTGAACAAGTCCCTCTCTGAAGGAACTTTCCCTGAGTCACTTAAGGAAGCAGTGGTTCACCTCTCCTAAAGAAAGCATCTTTGGACCCACCTGAATTGGCTAACTATCAGCTGGTCTCTAACTTGCTCTATCTGGGCAAGATTGAGAGAGTGGTGGCAATTCCGTTGCAGAGTTTTCTGGATGACACTGATATACTAGACCCATTCCAGTGTGGCTTTCGTCCAGGTTACGGGACTGAGATGGCACTGGTTGCCCTCGTGGATGACCTCCAAAGGCATCTGGATCAAGGTGGATTGGCAGTACTGTTGTTGTTAGACCTCTCGGTTGTGTTCATTACTAATCCACCACCTCACCGATGCTGGGATTCAGGGGGCTGTCTTGCAGTGGCTCTCCTCTTTCCTACAAGGTTGTGGACAGAGGATAATGCTAGGGTAGCAGGTGTCCCAAAGGCACCCACTGGTTTGCGGAGTGCCACAAGGGGCTGTTCTCTTCCCGAAGTTATTTAACATCTATATGTGCCTCCTTGCCCAGAGGCATGAACTGGGCTGTCACCAGTATGTGGATGACACCCAGCTCTATCTGCTGTTGGGCAGCCAAGACCGGAAGATCTTGACCTGGCATTACAGGCCATAGGTGGGTGGCTTAGGCTGAGCCAACTGAAACTGAATCCAATAAAGGCAGAGGTCCTTTGTGTGAATTGGAGCAGTCTGGGGTTAGAGATCCCACTCCCAACCTTCAATGGGGCACTGTTGGTGCCAGGTTAGGAGCCTGGGAGTGCTCTTGGATGCCTCCTTAACGATCCAGGTGGCAACCACTGCCAAGTTGGCCTTTTACCATCTTCAGCTGATTAGGCAGTTGGTTCCCTTCCTCGAACACGATGATCTGGCAATAGTGATCCATACAATGGTCACCTCAAGATTAGAATACTGCAATACTCTCTACATGGGGCTGCCCTTGTCCCAAACCCAGAAACTACAGCTGGTGTAGAATGCAGCGGCCAGGCTGTTATTGGGTCTCCCTTTGACGGAGCACATTCAGCCGGTGTTGAAAGCACTGCACTGACTACCTATAGCATACCAGGTCCGCTTCAAGGTGTTGGTTTTTACCTATAAAGCCCTATATGGCCAGGGGCCTGCATATCTGAGGATCCGCCTTTCCCTATATGTTCCCCAGATAGCACTGTGTTCTGGATCACAAGATCTCCTCACTCTCCCTGGCCATACAAGATGTCAGGCTGGTCACAACCAGGGCTACAGCCTTCCAGGCAGCAGCACTGCTTTGGTGGAATGAGCTCCCAGAGGACATCGAGGCCCTGTGGGATTTATTACAATTCCACAGGGCCTGGAAGACAGAGCTCTTCCACCAAGTGTTTGAGGAAAACACCATGTTAAACCGCTAACACCAACCAGGCTAGCTAGGCCCTATAATCCATCCTGGCTGCCTGCTTTAATATCCACGCCCATACTGAGGAACAATGCACCTAAGAGCCAGACACCAGCCATACAACTATTGATTTTATTGTGGCAGATTAGAACAATCTTTGCCATCACATATATGTAGCACCTTTGGAATGTGTTTTTAGGATATTAACTGTTTTTTGTTGCCAATGGCCTTGTAAGCCGCCCTGAGCCTGCTTCAGCAGAGAGGGCAGGGTATAAATAAAATAATAAAACTTCACCCACTGTCACAGGCCAGGAGAAAACTGAGGCAGTTCTGACAGCACAGGCCCAAGAGGTGATAAAGCACAGGCTACTGAACCTGTTGCCTCTCACCCAATGGTGCTTTGACCTGGTCAGAGATTTTGTGCATAGAACACACTTTTCTCCTTTTGGAAGGGAACAAGCAAGGCCAATGGAGAAGAGGAAGAAGAAATGCAGCAGTTGCTCCCTGTAGCCCTGCTGCTGGGAGGGGAAAGGCCTTTGTTTTTCTGCTCACCTTGTTCTTCCCCGCAACACCTCAAAACCCATCTGCAAGAGACAGACCTACTTTTGCATCCCAACCCAGTTTGAGAAGCACTTCATGAAGGCATCAGTTAAATTCAAATGTGAAAACTACTACTAACACAAAGGTAGTGCCTGTTAAAATAGCCCAAGAAATCAAAGTTAATTACTACATCTGAACTAGGATGCTAGTAATAGTGAGCAATATAATAGTGCAGAACTTGCCATTTAAGTATCTCTGAACGTCAGGAATAAAAATGATTGTTCTTTGCCACAAATAAGCTCTGGGGTTCACTGTTTCTTTTCCTACAAAAGTCTTCAAACTGGGTTCCTATAAGAGTTATTTCATAATCAGTTATTTTGAAAAAAGCTTTAACCTGGAAGATTTAATGTAGTCCTTTGTACTGCAGAAAAGGGGTTGGACTGATAGAATGTACATAGCTCTTTCACTGAAGCAAAGCTCTTTGCACCAGTTGAAGATTCACCACTGGTCAAATGGAACCCCCAGATCCAGTCCTGGGCTTTTAACACCCTCTACCCTGGTTTAAGACATTGCAGGTATAAGCCACAGACTTGGTTTAAACCTGGGGCCAAAGTCCAGAGAAATAAACCAGAGACTTGCCATCTATCGAAGGTGAGGCCCACCATTATTGAATTGTTTAAATATTTAACTTTGAACAGCACACTGCCCTTATCTAGATTCTATTTGAATCCCTCCAGTGTTTCGGCACTCAAGCTTAACATTTTAGCATGGAGCAGCTGTAGACAATAGGTCTTGGAAGACACAATTCTAAGTTTCAAGGTAAGATCTTCCAAGATAACTACTTCTTTGTCCATCATTCTCATCAAAGGAACCCTCTTGAGTTGTCCATCCCATCTCTACCACTTCACACAAGTGTGGGCAAGGCTGTTTGGTTCATCATACAAGCAACTGTTGCTCTTCAGCTTTACAATACTTGTTCTCAAATATGCACCTCTATCTTCTCATTAAACAAACTGAACTTCTTCAGGGTTCAGAGATCAGGCCCAGCAACCAGATCATCAGGTCTTATATCAGTAATTGCTCAAGAACAGATTTACATAGAGCTTAAGCAGCTAGGGGAGCTGCGGTGGCTCAAGTGGTTAAGATGCTGAACTGCAGGCTGCGGAAGGTCAGTAGTTCAGCAGTTCGAGACCCAGGTGATGGAGTGAGCTCCCATCTCTAGTTTCAGCTCCTGCCAACCTAGCAGTTCGAAAGCAAGAAATTGCAAGTAGATAAATAGGTACCACTTCAGTGGGAAGGTAACAGCATTCTGTGCGCCTCGGCGTTTAGTCATGCCGGCCACATGACCACGGAAACGTCTTCGGACAGCGCTGGCTCTTCAGGTTTGAAACTGAGATGAGCACCGCAACCCTAGAGTCAGATTCGACTGGCTTTCAAGCAAGGGAACCTTTACCTTTAAGCAGCTAGGAGATATTGCTATTAAACTAGTGACTCAGAAACCCCTTTTCAGCTTTCACCCACATTTCCAGTAAAAGCTTCCCACACATGTACTCACACTTGTTATAAATGAAGCTTTAAATAACCATCTTTATTGAAGTACATGACACGCTCTTCTTCAAGAAGTAGGTACTTGACATCCTCAGTGTTGATGCTTTACAGATCTGATGCCCATTATGTTATTTAACTATCTTACACCAACCAAGAAGGCATAACGCATTAGAACAATAGAACTGCATTCTACCACACAGCTCCTAAAACTCCAAGTCAAACAGCTGCTGAGCTGGCCTCACATTATGCAGCTGTAACAGTGATCTTTCATTAGGATTTATGAACATCCCCATCCAACAAAAAGTGAATATTTTCCTAGATTGTCATGTTGTTCAGGGTGCCAATTTGAATTTGGACCTAGAGATTCATACCAAACAGGCTGACAGATCCATGCTCTACAATTACAGAAATACTAGCATACTTCCAATGGTCATAGTTCCTTTTTTATAGAAGCAGTTGTAATGGAACTTTATTACTAATTATATTAGAACTTGGATTAACCAAACTGAGGAACCGCAGCCAAGCATTCTGTTTAACTACTTAAACAAATATTTGCCACTTAAAATTTTAATAGTTTAGAATGTTAAGCTCTGTTAGCAAAATGTTCTACTTTGTGGCCTATTAAAGGGTCCCCCTTAGTAAATATAACCCAAGAGGTACATATGCTTCCGATATGGTTACAGGTTTAAAGGAAAAAAAGAGAACTGCTACTAACACATTATGTAACATTAATACTAACATTATGCACAAAACACTGATATTTAAAGCTACATCAATTACACCAGTAGAGGCAGGACAATTGTAAGGAATGCTCTAGTTCTGGCAATAGTTTAATCCTTCAGAGTCTTTGTTCTAGAATGTAACCATATATTTTTTGGAAGTAAATCGAGATAACAACGAATACATCTTTATAGGATGATGCATTACTACTAAGGTCTATATTCATGGCGTTTATAAAGTTTTTTTAGCCAATTCAGTCCTCTTTCACTTCACCCTTTAAGTGCCTTTTCACACGTGAGTAGGGGCTGATAGTATCATCCATCACAAAATCATAAAGTACTTTTATCCAGGATTTATACTGTGGCAGGTTGTCATAGTATTCAGAGGCCATTTCCTTTAGCTGCAATAAAAGAAAAAGAATTATTCACTTCTAGTATACCCATACCAGGTTCCATGTTCAGGCTCCCTTCCACCTGTCCAATGTCCTTTACAGCAGGCTGCTTACCTGCTCTTTTTAAGGTCTCAGCCGTGGAAAGGGAAGAGGGTTTTGGGTCTACCCCTTATCCTATTAGTTTCCCCGGCCGGCTCCTTCTCTGCCTGGAGCCAAGACGGGTCTGGCCTCATTGGCCTCTTCCTGACTTTTAAAGGCCACTTAGTCAGGTCTACCCACAACTTTCTGGCTCGCACATGACACTGCCCCCCAAGAGCTAGAGACTTGATCTGTCAGTAGCTCCAGCCTCATACTTCCCCTACCCTGATACCTTCCTTCCCTGTTTTACCCCCATAATTGTCCTGATCCATTGTTCTGCTGAACCACATCTGTGTAGCTGGCCCCTGGATGAATAGCCAGTAGGGTTCCTAAAATGGCCAGAATATTCCCACCTAGCCAGCAACTGTCTGGGCTCCTAATGGCTCAGCTGTGCCCCTAGGCAGAGATAAAGTCCCCCCAACAACCAAATCATTTAAGCATAGTACATGGACTGAACAGCTGATTGTTTTAGCTTGTTTCTCATAAGTCCTTTAAATTCATGCTTCTAGATCAGTTGCTGTTTTTTAGCTTGTTCCTCATAAGTCCCTTAGATTCACACTACTACCATCAGTTGCAATTGATGGGGAGAAAGTTAAAACTTTCTCACTTGCTTTAGATTTCTCCCAGTCTGTTTTTTTCTTTTCTCCTTTCATTTTTTCTCTCTCCCCCCCCAGCCTTTAACTCTGCCTTCTTTATCCTACAACTGATTATTTCACCATCCCCACAGTATCTTCATGTTCTCCCCACATCCTACCCATGTTCAACAGGCCCTCTACCACCTTCCATATTCTCTACTTGGCCCCTCATACAGCCCCTCCCCATCACTCCTCCCCCTATATTCCCATTTTTATTCAAGGAGAAATATTATCTGCACACCTGTAGATTCTCTACCCTGGTATTCAGAACCATCTCTGTATCTAAGTCAACTATACAGATTTCATTAACCACACAGGGGACACTTCATTATTAGATATGATATACACGATCAGACATTATTTCGATTCCCAAAGCATCAAATATTTAACAAGAAGTTTCAGTAAGTTAATCAAGAGTCTCTTGCATAGATAAATAAACAGATAACTATGCCACCTGAAGCAGATAACTATGCCTTAGATTTCTCTAGTATATCCTATAAAGAAATATTGTGTTAGAGCTGCCAAGCAATACAGGCAGAGTACCCCTTCCAGAATGGTACTATGTTGTATTGGAATGCAGCATTAGCATCATGGTGGGAGGAACTGTAATAGACACACTCCAATACCCTTTCCTATGTGAGATACCCTCCATGGGTCCAAAAATGCAATTTGTCTCTGTGAATAAGGATACAAGAAAGCAGAGCCTGAGGGGCTACTAAAAATAATGATGGGCTATAAAGCACAGCCTGGGCAATGAGGAAGAGAAACACTGATACCATTTGAAGGTTTATGAACTTTACTGTGAGAAAGCAGACCAGATTATGAAGCAGCTGTTCTCCCAGCTTTGCTGGCCTTTAAAATGATAGCTACTTAATACAGCACAGCAAATTAGAAAGCCTCTAACTTCTTGCCTAGGTGACAAACTGTAAATCCAAACAACAAGGGGAAAATATTAGTGTCACAGGAGTTCCCAAATTTACAAATTCCACTAGTAGAAAACACCATCAAAGCTTGCCAAAACAACATATTAAACAATTATAGAGTTGGTGGTGTCACAACAACATTAATGGATACTGTAACTATAATAACCTATGATTCGCTTCTTACACTATGAACCTTGTGGTCTGTTGAAATTGCTGAAATCAGGTTCCACTCACACAGCCGGAAAACTGAAGAAGTCGAAGGAAACGCATCTTCCAAGTATCTAGAATGGGCGTCTTTGCAAAGGCTGTTTGGAAAATGTTATGACTATGTGGACTCCTCCTATTAAGTAACACTGACTACATGGACTTTATGTCTTATCTTCAAAGGAGGAAATATTGCATCTTATGCCTTATTATAGTTACAGTATGCGTTAATGTTGTTGTTGTGACACCACCAACTTTATAATTGTTTAATATATTGTTTTGGCAATTTTTGACGGCAAAATAGCAAGTCTGTATCTTTGTCAACAGAACTAGGGTAGCAAAATGTTAAGGAACACAAGGTGTCTTGAGCAAGCTACTTAACTCACCGGGTGACTTCAGGACAGCTCCTCTCTGCAACAGAATATAGTGACCTTACACGGCTGTCAAGAATTACCTCACCTCACAAGAAAAATGCAATACCATATTAGCCAGCCACTATATTGCCACTTTCATAAGTGACACAAGATGTCTCTTGCGACATGGCACTAGCAACAGGGTGCACAAAATGTGGCCATGTTGTGCAGCCCATCCTGATTCTCAGGCAGAAGTTCTTTC